CGTTACATCTTCTCATGTGCAATATCATGTTGCTTGCAATAAACATCAAAAGGTCCACAATACTCACCACCATTGTCAGTAAGAATACGTTTCAGCTTCTTCCCTGATTGTCTTTCAACCAAGGCATGAAATTATTTGAACCTCTTCAACACCTGATCTTTTCTCTACAAAGCATAGACCCATAGTTTCCTGGAACAATCATCAATAAAGGTAACAAAGTAAAGTGCACCCCTAAAGGATTTCACCTTCAATGGACCACAAACATCAGAATGTACCAATTGCAACAACTCTGACTTCCTTAAGGGAGGATGCTTCTTAAAGGATACTCTGGTTTACTTGCCAGCCATGCAATGAGAACATTTCTCCAATTCTGTACTCTTCAACCCTTGAAGAACATCCTTTTTAGCTAAGCAATTCAATCCCTTTTCACTGATATGACTAAGCCTTCGATGCCACAAAGATGCCTCCATATCCATGGCATTCACACTGTCTTTAGCAACCAAAGCTTTTGTCCAATACAGTCTAGAATTTTTCTCCCCTCTAGCCACAACCAAGTTACCTTTGGTGAGTTTCCACTTTCCAGAACCAAAGTGGTTATCATAACCTCCATCATCAAGTATCTGCACAGAGATCAAATTAAAACGAACATCAGGAGCATGTTTGACTCCTCTAAGCAACAACTGCATTCCCATGTTGGTTTGTAGGCAAACATCACCAACACCAATCACTTTAGACACACTATCATTACCCATCTTCAACACTCCAAAATCACCAGAAGTGTAAGATGTGGAGAACTCCTTCCTTGGTGTAACATGCAGTGTAGCACCACTATCAACAATCCACATGCTCTCATCTAATACAAGATTAACTGACCGATGGTCACTAAGAATAACAAGATCACCACAAGTAGCAGTAGCAACACGATCATCATCATGATCCTTTTCTTTCTGTTTACCCTTCTTGCCTTTATTCTCCTTTTTCCACAAAAAAAAATTCTTCTGTATATGCCCTGTTTTGTGACAATAATGACACTCCACATTCTTGTATCAGGACTTAGACTTACTCCTGCTCTTTTCTCTACCACCCTTCAGTTCCTTCTTCTGACTTTTCCTCCTGTTTTCAGTGACAAGCACCCCAGACTGAGATGAAGAACCCTGTGCCTTCCTTCTCATCTCTTCATTAAGAGCACCACTCTTTTCCGCTTGCAAAGAAACAACACCATTAGGGGCCGAGTTGGTAATAGAAACCCGAAATGTCTCCCAAGACTCAAGTAAAGTATTTAGTAGCCATAGTCCCAAAAATTCATCATCAAATTTGATACCCATTCTGGATAATTGATCTAGGAGCCCTTGAAATTCATTCAAGTGATCTGAAATGGAAGAACTTTCCCTGTACCTCAAATTCATCAGACAATTCAACAAATACAATTTATTATTTCCTGATTTAGAAGCATACAAGGACTCAATCTTCCCACATAAAGTTCTAGCATGTGTCTCATTTGCAATGTGATTATAAACATTGTCTTCTATAAATTGCCGAATAAAACAACACACCTGTTGGTGTTCAAAGTCCCAATCTTCTTCAGACATAGAATCCGACTTTTGAGTAGTAAAGATAGGAAGATGCATTTTCTTCACAAATAGCAAGTCTTTAATCTTGCCCTTCCACAAGTGATAATTAGTGTCATTCAAAGCAATCATTTTAGTATTTGCCTCCATCATTCAAGCAAGTCAAATAGCCCAAAACCCAAGCCAACAAGAGCTCTAATACCACTCTGATGGGGAAACAACAACACAATAATAACATAGAGCAAACTCAAACAGTTTTTGCAGCGGAAATAAATTCCCCAAACTTACAAGAATCTGTGAGGAGCAACAACCAATGAACAACAATAATAACTCACCAAAAATCACACAGAGACACCAAGATTTTTAACGTGGAAAACCCCTCAAAGTAAGGGTAAAAATCACAAGTCGTCCAAACCATAGAAATAGATCCAATATGATCAAAAAAGAGTACAAAAGAGTCTCAATCAACTGCACAAAATAGTGCTAACACCCAGCCAAAAAACAAAGCAATAAAGCTTACAAATAGATAACAAAGAAGATGAAAAAACTCCAAATACACAGCTACAGTGCGAACTGAATATCTCCCTATCAGACCTCGTTTCAACGATCCAACCGGTAAGAATGAAGAATCGGATGTTAAAAACCTGTTGTCCAATTTTTAGCGTGATCCAACGGTGAACGAATCTGTAATATCGATTTTACTGTTGCAGTCCTGTGTAAAAACGAGAATGACTTTCTCTCTTCCTCTTTCTCAAAGAGTTGGTGCTCTAAGTAGGGATGGCAACAAGGTGAGTTAGGTACGGGTTTCATGATACCCGTCCCTGCGAGTCAAACCTATCCTCGTCCCCGTCCTCATACCCGTCGGGTGTGTGATTTTAATCCCCATCCTCGTCCTCGACGTCGAGTATCGGGTATACCCATGCCCGTACTCGTACCCGTTAATTTTTTATTTTTTATTTTTTGTAAAAAAAATGATATTTTTAAATTGTTTTTTATTATATTATAATTATAATTAAGTTATTTCTCTATCTCATATTATAATAAATAATCACACATAAAAAAAATATTAATTTTTTAATATAATTAAATTGAAAGTGGGTATTAAATTAAAAATGAAAACGGGGACGGGTACGGGTACGGGGCGGGTAAGTACATACTCGTACCCGTTCCCGTACCCGATTTAATATATCGGGTTTTACCTGTACCTGTACCCGTACCCGGTCAAATTGGGTATTCCCCGTCAAAGTCGTGACGAGTTCGAGTATTACCTGCGGGTACGGGTATATTTGTCATCCCTAGCTCTAAGTGACTTCTGACTTTCCCTCTTTCTCACTATTGTGTTTCAGACCCTCTCTCCACTTAATTAAGTGAGACATCAAGTAGGCTTCTCAATTTTTGGGCCTTTTCTCCACATAGGAAGGGAGCTCAATACCCAACAATGTATTCATGTCCAGTTTAGAATCACAAAGTTAAATATCTTAATAGACAACCTTGTCAACAAAATCAAATCATGATAAATAATATGGTTGTGCTTATTTACAAAGGAATGTCAGAAAAACACTATACATCCTTATAATGTTATTCTTAGTGACTTGAAGGGAACAACCATTTTCCCTACAAATTATCAAATTAGAGTTGACAAATGAAGGAATGGTATAATTTTTTAGGTAGAGAATTTGATTGAAATAATTAATTAATCTATTTAATTCAGTTAAAGTAAAAAATTTCATTCAATTTATTTATTAATAATTTTTTCATGGATATCTAGTACCTACATGAAAGTAATGTTTTAAAAATTAAATGATTTTTATTTTAAAAATATTTTATTTCTATTTCTTTTTTTATAAGTTATTACATTATTATATAATTTTTTAAAATTTAAAAGACTTTCTTTTATTTCAAAAATAGTCTTTTAAAATCTCAATCCAATAACATTTCATATTATAATCCAATAAATTTTGAAAGATTAGTAGATGGATCATTAATCATCCATAAAATTAAATGAATAGACGAATCTAATTCATTATTTATTTTTATTGTAATGAATGAATTAGATGGATTTATATGTAGATCGATCAAATTGATGATAAATAAATGAATATTTTTATCACCCTTAACAGGTTATACAGAAATTACCAAAATTTCTTACTTTTTACTCGAAATAAATATTGGGATTCTTAGATTAATTGGAATAAATAATAGGATACATCAACACTAAAGTTAGCCTTTTGATTGAGGATTGGGATTGGAATAACTAAAAAGTGAGAAGATCTAAGTTCAACTTTCGTTGTACCTTTGTAATTTTCTTCATTCACAGTATAAAAAATAATAATAATGGGAGACATCAAATGTCTAATTGGATAAAAAAAAAAAAAAGAAGAAAATGATTTCAAATAATGTTACAGAAGATATATGAACAATGAAATTAAAAGTAAAAAATTAATATAGTGGTAAACAATTTTTCACTAAAACATTATTATATATCGTTACAAAATATATTGTAAGTCCATATGTTTATTATGACTTTTGCAATCAATGATGTTTATTATTCTATGAAGTTCTTTGTAGTATCAAGCAATTAACTATAATAATAGATAATCAAATCAAATGTAAATTTTTGTAATATGAGAATTACATACTATTTTTCCAACAAGGAGAAGCAAGTCTTGGGACATAAGAAGTCAATCTGATTTTTTATTATCAATTTTTATATTGTTAAAATAATATTTAATTAGTAGAAGTTATATTGGGTGAGTGTATTTACTTTTCAACTTTATGATATCATTTGAACCATATTCATAAAAAGAAAAAAAAAAAAAATACTTGCGTGCATGATTATTAATGTATGTGATTCTCCAAGATTCTCACGTTACCCTTTGCACAACATTTGGTTTAAGTTTGTATCATTTTTCTGTGAATGAATTCTTTTAACCCGACCTTGTTAGACTATATATATCATCGTACCTAGATCGTTGGAATTTTGAAACATTATTTCTCTTCTCCCGTCATACACACCTTTGCATCATAAAAAATCATTATTTGTGATATTATATATGAAATATCTATTACAATGATGCAAATGTTTTTAAGGAATACTATAGCCGATGATTACTAGGTTTATGTAAATTGTTATCCAACATAATTAAATAATTATGATTTTGAATTTTTATTTTAAAAACAACATATTACTGATCATTGAGGTCGGCAAGCCGGCAACAACAACCAATATTTGATCATTTTTTATATTAGATATCGATGGAGAAATGTGTGTCGGCATTAAGAACCACTAAAACAAATAAATTATCGTCCCATTGAGAACTTCATCAAAGGAAAACACAAAGAAAATAAATCATTTTCATCTTGACAGACATATCACAAAAATGGCCGAATCAAAGTTGAGTTGCTTCAAAGACGAAAGGTGGTCACTTCATGGCAAGACAGCTCTAGTAACAGGAGGCACCAAAGGCATAGGGTTAATTCTCTAATGCTAATCTTTATGTCTTTTACTTAATTTCATTCATCTATATTATATTTATTTTTTATTCCATTGTAAATTAGGCACGCTATAGTAGAAGAGTTAGCAGAATTTGGAGCAGCAGTGCATGTATGTGCACGTAATCAACAAGATATTGATAAATGTGTAGAAGAATGGAAAAACAAAGGATTTCGCATAACAGGAACCGCATGTGATGTACTATCTCCTGAGCAACGTGAAAACTTAATGAAAAATGTTGCTTCAATTTTTCATGGAAAGCTCAACATTCTGGTAACATCCTATTTATATTAAAAAAATGAAAATATTAATTTAATTTAATTTTGTAAAATCAACTTTGTTATCAGGTGATTTATTATGTATTTGAATATATATTTAAATAGTAGTATATATCGACAATTGTTAATGCAACTTGACAGACACAAGAATTATTAGAATTACATGATATGGCCTCTTATTTTCTTTCCCTGTTTCAATTTTCACCTTAAATTGACTAATATAGAGTTGACTTGTTAAATAATTTTATGTAGATAAACAATGTTGGAACAACTACACCTAAGAGTCTCATAGATTATACTGCAGAAGATGTAAAGAAAATTATGGGAACTAATTTTGAGTCTAGTTACCACCTATGTCAGTTAGCACATCCACTTCTAAAAGCATCTGGAAATGGGAGTATAGTATTTATATCTTCCATTGCAGGTGTCAAAGCCTTTCCTCATAGTTCTGTCTATTCATCTTCTAAAGGTATGTTTCCCTATCTTTATATCTTTTAACTAGATCGTAACGTGATAAATTAGAGTTTCAGAATATTATCGATTTGATCATAAATTTTATTCAGGAGCCATGAATCAATTCACCAAAAGCGTAGCATTGGAATGGGCAAAGGATAATATTCGTGCAAATGCAGTGGCACCTGGACCTGTTATTACCCCACTTCTAGATTCAATCACGGTATATGTGCTTTTTTAAAGCTTACACATTCCGCGGCATATCAAGATTACTCGTCTTTCTTTTATTTATATATATATATATATATAT